TCCATCCATCTCCTTCCTTCCTTCCTTCCTTCCTTCCTTCCTTCCTTGCATGAAACCAACTCCAGTTATCTGGTTTCCCATAAAAGTTGTGGTGCAACAGGCTACCTAAATCCCCGGTTAAGTACCGTGTGAGGTTTCGGCAGGGAGGCGCCAACTTTTCAAGAGCAACCTGTGTGTCTCACAACCTGTGAGATAGCCTCACAACCCGTGATAGCCTTACCAGATAGCCTCACAACCTGTGTTACTAACTGAGCAGCAATTCCCTACACCAACAAGGTCATAAAAATATGGCAAACTTCCCTTAACAGCTCTTCTTGCGTAGACGCAGAAATGTTGGGTTCTACTTTTTAGAAAAGTAAAAAAAGACGGGAGGAGTCATAAATTAGAGGAATGTAATCCACACAAACAACGTTAGTGGGTGCATCTACCCCAAACCGCCCTCATCTTTCTCTCTTTCTCTCTCTTTTTTGCAGGTCCATCTTGGCCCCGAAAGAGTCTCTGCAGTTTTCCGTGCGCGGCTTCTCCCTCTCCGGCCTCTGTCTGATATGTTTGATATTAGGTTGTCCTACTGCAAAATCCAACTAAATATCAAACATATTCTGATAGCGGCCGGGATCGTTCCACGGTTTTCCAGACAGCATCCGCTGGAGAGAGCTGGGTCGCTTCTGGGTCTTTCAAACCCTCTTTCTGAGTCTGAATTTTGCAGATCTGGGGTTTGGGGAATTGAACCCCCACCAGGAGAGGGGAGGCGGGGAGGAGGGAAATGTTTGCTCAGTGGTGGGAGGGGGGGAAAAAGGAGAAAAACGTAAGAAAAAGAGACAAAACTTCCAGAGATTGTGGATGCTCCAACACGGGGAGTTTTTAAGATGAGATGGGTTAGCCGTTGGTCTGGAGTAGGGTAGGGTTGAATTAGAAGCAGGGGGTTGGACTGGATGACCTCCAAGGTCCCTCCTGATTCTGTTATTCTGTTAAAGGGACCGTGATGGTTTGGGAGGGATTTTAACAGTTTTGTTTTGATTTATTTTTATTTTATTTTATTATTATTATTTTATTTCATTATTATTATTTTATTATTTTTTATTTCATTTTATTTTATTTTATTTTATTATTTTATTATTTTATTATTTTATTTTATTTTATTTTATTTATTTAATATTTTTGTTTTATTTTTTACACCCCTCTTGTTTCAAAGCGAACCTGGGCAGCTGACAAACGTTTTTATTTTGTTTTATTTCGTTCCTAAACTCCATCCACAAACGGGACACCAGAGGGCAGGCTATTATCCTCTCTCTATATATGTTGCAATGATGCCTTTCTTGAAGAGCTGGATTTTTGCTTGCAAGCTTCAGAGCTGAGGATGGAAGTTGTGGAGGGGAGGCCTAATCCGGCTTTCTTGGGAGAAAATGAAAACAGCTTTTTGATTCTTCGCTGGGAGAAATATCTCGCTCTCTTTAAACCTCCGTGGGATAGTTTTTCCTGAAGGAAATTGGTGATGGGAAGGCTCGATGATGAATTACTGTGTTTATTACAATATTACCAAGACAAATTCCTTGTGTGTCCAATCACACTTGGCTAATAAAGAATTCTATTCTATTCTATTAATATTTGCTAATTTTGGAGGCGCCTTATCTTTGAATCTGTTCCGAAGAGAGAAGTAGAAGTCATCCCTTTTCAATCTCTTCCCTCCCTTCTTTTCCTTCCTTCTCTCCTCCTCATCTTGGTCTTTCCCATTCTTCCTTTTCCCATCCCTTTCTTCCTCTCTATCCTTAGATTTAACTTTTATTTTTTCGGGTGTGGAAACTTAAATAAAGTTACAAAAGAAAAAGAAAAGAAAAAAGAACTGTCCGTCCCCACCTCCCCCCTGTTTTTTTTTCCTTAGATCCTACAGAACTGGACCGATCTCTAAGATGCTGTAAATAAGCCACGGTTTGTTTGATCGCAGTTTAGGAAATAAACCCCGATGGGTTGGGTTGGAATCATGGGCTAAATGTCACCTGCCGTTGTAACTCCGAATAGTCCTTCCACAAATGGTTGTAAATCGAGAGCCTTCTCTGTGGCAGCCGGAGGCATCCGTGAAGCCGCTGAATGACAGGGATGGGAATGATGCCCGCCCCCAAAGGTCATCTAGTCCACCCTGCAGGAAAACCAGCTCCAGCACCCATGGGGCTTGGCTTGAGGGAGATCACCTCAAGCCTTAGTAAGGCCACACTGTACCGCATCCAGTTTGGGTCACCACACTATAGAAAAAGATGTTGAGACTCTAGAAAAAGTGCAGAGAAGAGCAACCAGGATGATGAGGGGACTGGCGGCTAAAACCATACAATGAATGGTTGCAGGAACTGGGCCTGGCTAGTCTAGGGAAGAGAAGGACCAGGGGAGACAGGAGAGCATCTTCCAATATTTGAGGGGCTGCCCCAGAGAGGAGGAAGGGGGGGGTCAAGCTATTTTCTAAAGTACCCAAAGGCCAGACAGGGAAGAATGGATGGAAACTGACCAAGGAGAGATTCAACCTGGAAATAAGGAGGAATTTTCTGACAGGGAGGACAATCAACCCATGGAACAGAAGTTGCCTTCAGAAGTTGTGGGAGCTTCATCCCTGGAGGCTTTCCAGAAGGAGACTGGACTGCCATCGGTCAGAAATGGTGTAGGGGTCTTGGGCCGGGAGGTTCGACTAGATGACCTCCAAGGTCCCTTCCAACTCTTCCAATCTGTTAGTTAATCTACCATCCCTGGAGGCTTTCAAGAAGGAGACTGGACCGCCATCGGTCAGAAATGGTGTAGGGGTCTTGGGCCGGGGGGTTGGACTAGATGACCTCCAAGGTCCCTTCCAACTCTTCCAATCTGTTAGTTAATCTACCATCCCTGGAGGCTTTCAAGAAGGAGACTGGACTGTCATCAGTCAGAAACGGTGTAGGGGTCTCCGGCTTGGGCCGTGGGGGGGGGTTGGACTAGATGACCTCCAAGGTCCCTTCCAACTCCGATTATCTGTACCTGCCCTGCCTTTCCTCCTCTGTGGGAACAAAGCTTTCACCCCACATCCCTCCCCTTCGCCTATTTTTTTTTTCCCCAACTGAGGGACGTCTATTATTAGCGGCCAGCTGTCTCCCCCGTCGGGGCCAAATATGGCCATTGTCCTCACCCTCCAACCATCTCCCTGGGCCTCGGAGGACAATGGAGGAGGGCAGGAGGGAGATTTGGGGGTGGGGGTGGGGGGGTGGATGGAGGGAAGGGGAGGGTCAGATCCCAGAAAGGGAAGGCTGGCAAGCCAGCTGGCAGGAGGGGCCCACTATAAAAAGAGCAGAGGAGCAGTTGCCGGATTGCTATCGTGCCCCTCGCCACACCCCGTTGTCCAGTTTGCCCCTATCGATCCCGGCTTCTTCGCCCGCTGCTCGCCGCCACCATGGAAGCCATCAAGAAAAAAATGCAGATGCTCAAACTGGACAAGGAGAACGCTTTAGACCGGGCGGAACAAGCCGAGACGGAGCAAAAACACACCGAGGAAAGGAGCAAACAGGTGCGGCCAGGATTCAGCCCGGTTTTAGGGGAGACCGGGATGTGTGTGTGTGGGGGGAAGGGGCGGAAGGCGAAAAGACGGCTTGTGGTTTCTAGGGGATGCTGGCTTCCCCAAATCTAAACACCTTCCCTCAGCTCGCCTGACATTCAAACCATTCCCATTGGGCTGGGCTCTGTCCTACTTCGCAGGGCTGTTGTGCAGGTGTGGACAGGCAAGGAGGAAGGCGCCCAGCGGCCATTTTGAGAGTCAGGTGTTTTTTTTCCTCTTTTTTTTTTTCTTCTTCTCTGGCTTTGGGGTTTCAGCCTACCAAGCCTGGCTAAAATCCAACGTTTTTTTTCCCCTAAAATCCAGATTTTTTTTTCTAAAAAAAGCTCCCAAATTGGCTTACTTTTGTCCCATAAAGGAATCTGAGTTTTAGAATAAGATGAATTCTCACATTCAATACTAAGATTCCGGCTCTGACACAGAAGAACAGAGCTGGAAGGGACCTTTGAGGTCTTCTAGTCCAACCCCCTGCCGTGGTTCCCCATCCCAATTTTCAGATCATTAAAAAGATGCCTTATATAAGTCAAAATAAAAAATAAAAAGCTAGCCAGAATATCCCTGCCTTGATTAAAATCCCTCTGGCTGCATTAAGCTTCATCGGAAAGGAAAGTTCTCAACATTGGACTTTTCGGCTTCAGAGGGCTGGAGAAAATATTGAAAAGGGGGCAAAGAAATGTTGTTTTTTTTCCCACCTGTCCTTCCTAAGCTGATTGACAACATGGTTAAATAGAAACCAGATGGATAGATCCATCTGTAAAATTGCCCAGCAAAATAAATAAATAAATAGAAAGCCGACTACTGAGTTACTGGTCAAACTGGGCAGAAGGGTAAACTTGAAAAGATCAATTTTTTTAATTTTCCAAAAAATTTCTTATTCCTATGTTGGAGGGAAAAAGAGAGAGAGGTGAGAATGCTGGATTTGAAGTCTCCCTTCAATTTAGCCAGGTGAATTTAAAAAAAAAACTCGTGCAAAATAAGTTCAAAAGCCGGCAAATAAATTTCACCAAAAACCTCGTTTTTAAGGAAACAGAAATGAAAGGCTGAATTCTTGGATGAGGGGCTTGGCTTGGGAATAACTTTTGTCAGATGTCGAAGTGGCTTCAGGGACCCCCCAAAAATAAAAAATAAAAGGGCAATTTTAAATTGCATTAAGCTACGTATAAATAGAGGCGGTGATAAATCTATTTTCTCTTGAAGCCACATCAACAAAAGGGTAACCAAGGGAGGGAAAGGATCTATTTTCTTTTATTTTTACCGTCCTGACTTCCAGGCCGTTTAAAAAATAAAAAAAACAATCAGAAAAAAAATTGGCACGCAGTCAGAGAAAAGGAAGGAGGAGATTAAGAATTAAGCCCTGCACCGAAGGATGGAAAGCGCTGGCATCTTTTAGCCTCAGCAAAGACAATGGCGGGTAGATGCGATGGCATTTTCTCCCCCAGTTTTTAATTTTTATATCTTTATTCAAGAAATGTTTCCTTGCTGCTTATCACCCTACCAAGATCTTTGCAAAATAAATACATAAATAAAATAGCAGAAGGAAGATCAGGGCAAAGATTTCTTCTTATCAGGAGAGAAAACGAGGGAGTGGAGTTAAGTTAGTCAACTAAACTAAAAATTGAAGTTGAGTTAAGTTAGGAAAGTAAAAATAAGTTCAGCTAAATTAGTAAACTGAACTGAACTAAAACTGAAGTTAAGGTGGGTTAGATAAAGTAAAGTAAAATTAAGGTGAGCTGAATTAATTTAGTAAAGTAAAATTAAGTTAAGTTAAATTAGTAATCTAAACTAAACTAAAATTGAAGCTGACTTGAGTTAGTAAAATCCAATTGAGCTGAATTAAGTTAGTAAAGTAAAATTAAATTAGTAAACTAAGCTAAACTAAAATTTAAATCGACTAAAGTTGACTTAAGTTAGCAAAGTAAAATTTAAGTTGAGTTGAGTTGAATTAAGTTAAGTTAGTAAAGTAAAAGTAAGTTAATTAAGTTAAATAATTAAGGAAATTTTTATGTTAGAAATGTTTTTTCCTAAGATTAAAGCGTGGCTGGAGAGTATCAGAAATGTCCCAGAAAGGCGATGGCCTTTGTCTTTGAATGTGGAGCTGGACAGTCACTTGGCATGGATGCTAGAATTTGAAGACCACCCCGAGCAGGGGGTTAGTCTAGGTGACCTCAGGTCACCTGGCCAACTGTGGGATGCTAAATCAATTGATTGGACTTAGCCAGAAGATGTTTCTGAAGGGATGGAAGAAGAGAGGAAGAGGCTGAGAGGGAGGGAGGGAGGGGAGAGAAAGAGAAAGAAGGAAAGAAAGAAAGAAAGAAAGAATGAAAGAAAGAAAGAAAGAAAGAAAGAAAGAAAGAAAGAAAGAAAGAAAGAAAGAAAGAAAGGAGGGAAGGAGGGAGAGAGAATGGAAGGAAGGAAGGAAGGAAGGAAGGAAGGAAGGAAGGAAGGAAGGAAGGAAGGAAAGAAAGAAGGAAGGTAGGGAGAGAGTGTGGAAGGAAGGAAGGAAGGAAGGAAGGAAGGAAGGAAGGAAGGAAGGAAAAGTGAAAGAAAAAGAGAGAGAAAGAAAGAGTTTCTGAGCTACTGCAGAGGGCACGAATGCTTTACAAATCCATTCCTTTCACCGAAGAGTTATCTCTCCTTCTTGGCGCCTTCTGCACATGTTCAGAGGCTATCCCTGCTATTGGTTCTTGGCAAACGCAAGCAGTTTTCACCTCTACTTTGCATTTTAGAAACACAGAATCAAGAAGCCTTTTAAAACCCGCAGCTCTCATGTGCCGGGCACCTGTGTGGCACTCAGCGTATGCTCAGAAACCCACCCTCTGATCTTTCCTAGCACACTCTGGGATTCGATTGCCTTCCTCTCGCTGTGGATGGGTGCATGGGGTGGGGGGTGGGGGAAATGCCCAGGTTGGCATAACGTGGTGGGCAGCCGGAGAAGAATGGCACGGCACCCCGTGGACAGCGAGGAAGACTATGCAAAGCTGGCATCCCGGTGCTTATTCGATCCGGCTGAGCAAAGTTTTGGCAGGGAAGAGAGGGAGGGGAGGAGAGGGAGGGAAGGGCTCATACTCTGCGAGGTTTTGGGGTGACCATGCAGCTGACAATAGGCTGGCGGGTGGTGGAGGACTATCCCAACCCTGCCCGTTGTTTTTTTTTATTATTATTTCCAGGCAAAGCTCAGGTTACACAATGACACAAACACACACACACACACACAAAATACAGAGGAAGGCAATTAGCTGGCACGGATTGGATGGGGATGAAGATGGAGGGAGGGAGGGAGGAAGAAAGGAGGGAAGGAAGGAAGGAGGGAAGGAAGGAAGGAAGGAAAATGGGAGGGAGGGAGGAAACAGGGAAGGAGGGAGGAAGGTGAGAGGAAGGGAGGAAGGAAAGAAGGAAGGAAGGAAGGAAGGAAAATGGGAGGGAGGGAGGAAGGAAGATGAGAGGGAGGAAGGAGGGAGGGAAGTAAGGAAAGAAAGAAAGAAGGAA